TTTAAAAATTAGCTGGGCATGGTGGTGCGTGCCTGTGGTCCTACCTACTTGGGTGGCTGAAATGGAAGCATCACTTAAACCCGGCAGATCAAGGCTGCAGTGAGCTGTGATTGTGCCACAGCACTCCACTTGGGTGACAGAGCAAAACCTTTTCTCAAAAAAACAAACAAAAACAAATATACCAATTACCATAGAGTAGATTGAAAAGATGGTTAAAGGTCAACATTGAGAAGGCAGCAGGACCAGGTGATTTCCTAATTTGTTTCCACTAACCTAAGAACAGTAATTCTGATATTTTAGTTATTCCAGAATGAAGGGAAGGATGGAAAACTTCCTAATATGTTTTATGAAGCCAACAAAACTTTAAAATCAAAACATGATAGAGTACCAAAAAAAAAAAAAACCTTACCACTCTTATATATATATATATTCAAAAGTTCTAAATAAAATATTGGTAAGCAATACTTGACATCTCAGCAATAATTCAAAAGAATAACACACTGAAACCAATCAGAGCTTAATTCAAGGAATGCAAGAGTGAAATTCAATGTGATAAAGTATATTTACCTAAAACCAATAGCAAACATCTTTCTACTAGGTGAGACAACACAACTATTTCAAATAAAATCAGAACCCAAACAGGCATGCCTGCTATTGCTATTATTATTCAACATTGTCATGTCAGGTCTGACAAATGAAGTCACTGAAAAAAAAATACACCATTTTTACTAATTGCATAACTGTATTTATTTTTTTAAAACCCAATAAACAACTAGTAGAATTAATAAGAATATTTGATAAGGTAATACTATGATATATAACAAATATACAAAAGTAATTAGAGATTCCATATTTAAGTATGAGCAACTAGAAACATAAATGGGAATGAAATCCACACATATTAGTGAAAAAGTCATTAAGATACTTAGCAAGAAAAGCACAAAAACCTATATAAAGAAAACTATAAAATCATATCGAATGATAAATTTTCAAATCTAAGCAAATGGAACAACATCTGTGTGTTCTTAAATGGGAAGATTTAATATCATAAAAATGTCACTTTTTTTTTTTTTTTTTTTTTTTGAGACAGACTACTCCTGTTGCCCAGACTGGAGTGCACTGACACAGTCTTGCAACCTCTGCTCCCAGACTCAAGCAATTCTCCTGCCTCAGCCTCCCGAGGAGCTGGGACTACAGGCATATGCCACCACCCCCAGCTAATCTTTGTATTTTTTGTAGAGACAGGATCTCGCTATGTTGGCCAGGCTGGTCTCAAACTCCTGACTTCAACTGATCCACCTGCCTCAACCTCCCAAAGTGCTGGGATTACAGGCATGAGCCACTGCCCCAGGTCAAAACGTCACGTCTCTTAATATCACAAGAAAGTCCAATTAAAAACCAAATACAATAATGGGATCCCAAAACATAAAATGGACATTAGGTAAAAATTGAAATCTAAATACAGTAGGGATTTTAGTTAATACTAATGTATCCATTCGGTCCATTAATTGTTAACATTATGTATCATATTAATGTAAAATCTTGATAGTAGGAAAACTATGTGGGGAGTATATGGAAGCTCCTTGTACTATCTTCACAATTTTTCTGTAAATCTAAAACTGTTTTAAAAAGTAAAGCTTATTTTTGTAATCCAAGCACTTTGGGAAGCTGAGGCAGGAGGGTCATTTGAAGTTAAGAGTTCTATGCCAGCCTGACCAACATAGTGAGACACTACCTCTATTTAAAAAAAAAGAAAAAATACAAAAATTAGCCAGCGTGTGCACTCGGGAGGTTGAGGCGGGAAGATCACTTGAGCCCAGGAGGTCAAAGCTACAGTAAGCCTAGATCAGACCACTGCACTTCAGCCTCAGAGACAGAGCAAGACTCTTGCCTCAAAAAATAAAAACTTAAATTTATTTTAAAAGCATATGTGTGAGACAATCAGGTAAGTTTTTTTTTTTTTTAATTAACAATTCCAGTTAAATAGGTAAAAGTATCTTAAAGTTTAGGGAGAAAACAAATGCCCAAGAAAGCAAATAAAAGAATAAAAAAGAACAGTGAGAGGAAATAAACTATAGAGATACTATAATTAAATCAATATGGTATGCTGATACAGGAACAGAGAAATAGATCAGTGGAACAGAATGGAGAATCCAGAAATAAAATCCAGTTTATATGAGATTTTAATATATGACAAAAAAATATATTTCAATGCAATGGGGGAAAGAGTGATTATTTAGTAAGTAGTGTTGGGACAACTGGCTATTCATCTGGTAGAAAATATTTGGCCCAATAGCTCATATTATAAATAAAAAACAAATTCCAGATGGGGTGAGTGGTTAAATGTAATAAATAGAGCATCAAGTTAGAAGAAAACCTAGGCAACAACACTTAAAATCTGTTTCTTAACCAGAGAGAAAAAACTGCCATTTTTGAGTTAATAAAAATGAAAAACAATTTATGTTGCAAAGCTATCACAGATGAAACTAATAGGCAAATGACAGATTTGGGAAAATACCTGTAAAAGCGATAACAGATGATGGGTTAGTAACCATGACCAATATACAAAGAGTTTTTAAAAATTGGCAAGAGACAAGCAACTTGATAGAAAAATGGGTAAAGGATGTGAAAAAGGAGTTCATGAGAACAAATCCACAGATATAAGCATAAAGATGCTTCAACTAACTAGTAATTAGAGAAATACAAATTACAGCAAAAAATAATAATCACTTACAACCAATCAGATAAAAGGAAAAATACAGAGTGCAATACCGGTTGCTGACAGGATGAGGAGGAAAAAAAAAATGTAAATTGTTTATAGCTGTTTTGTAAAGCAGTCTGACAAATATTTTTACATTAAAAATACACAGACACTTCAACCAACAAATCACACTCCTGGGAATCAATGCAATAAACATAAAATCACCAATAAAATTTTTATTGCAGCATTGCTCTTATTGCAAAACACAACAAACAAAAAAATGAGTTCCCGGCAATAAGGTAATAATACATCTATATAGTGTGGAATATTAAGCAGCCAGTAAAAAGAATGAATCAGAGCTATACCATTTAACTTGGAAGGATTTTCCTGGATGTATCGTTGAGTGAAAAAGTAAGATGCAGAGAAGAGAATACACCACGATCCCATTTTTAAGAAGAAAATATTGACCAAACCCACAAATGTGTGTGTGTGAGAGAGAAAGAGAATGTGAACATGTAGACAAGCAGAAGAATACACGCTAGCTTGCTAACATAGGTTACTTAAGAAGGGTGGTGGAGAATGCAGGGATTGAATAGAAAACATGAGCACAATGGATGAAACTATTTCATTTATGTTAAGCAAATTAATCAAAGACCCTCTACAATGTGGATTAGGAATGTAACATGATTGGTAGGAGCATTTAACTTCCACATAGTCCTCAGTTTTTAAACATTATATTATTTTTTTTTCTAGGCTCCTTCGAATCATGGGACATAGTCTCCATTTTAAAACTTCCTCACAATCATTTGGCATTTTCTCTTCCATTAAACTATCAGTTCTGTACAACAGAAGTCCCAAAATTTCTTGTACATTTTGTGACAATTCTACTTAAAATTTTGTTTTTCATTAACAGTCACCCCACAGTTTATGAAACTAAATTTTTGGACCCCACCTTTCAATTTGAGGTGTAGTTTTACACACAAACACAAGTATGTACCTAAACACTGGAAAATTAGAAAAAATAAGGAGTGGGTAATTATGTATTTGCTGTTTACAGAAATGTCCAGAAAATGAAAATATAAATTATGGAAAAATATGCACAAAGTATTCTATTTTATAAAAACCAGCAAAACCTTAATTGCAAATGCATGCTTGACTTTTTTTTTTTTTCTTGAGAGTATTCCAAGTAAAACTATTTTTAAGTGAAAGAGAAAGCTGCGGAAAGTATTTCTTGTCACAGGTTACATAAAGGGGAGGGAAATAGAGAGGAAAGCTCACATTACTAGTGTTGCCTTTATGCATCTCGGTGTTACATGACTTATTACAGTAAGCAAAAACTATTGCTTTTCTAATCTTAGAATATTAAGTAATGAAAACAAAGATAAATTGCAAACAATCAAATAAATTGAGTATTACTTAGTACCTATCTCATAAGATCTGTTGTGAAGATTAAGTGAGATAATCCATGTAAGGTGCTTGGCATATTGCCCAACATGTAAATGATCAATAAATATTAGCTATTTTTAATTTAAAAAAAAGACTACAGAGAGCAGTGAAAATTACAAAGCTGAAAATACCAGGCTTTTGAGAACGACAATGTGTACACAAGGCACTTTTTCCCATATTACTGAATCTGGCCTCTTGGACTTCAAGGATTCATATTTTGGTAACCATCCAGCTCATTAAACACATTCTCAATGACAGGAAAAGTAAAATTACAATTAGATAAATAAGGCACTCAACAATGAAAAGGAGATGACAATCTTTTTGACTTGAAGACTACCCTAAGAACTTCACAAACCATCCTAAGGCATGGTGCACCAGTCACGACACTTCAAATGAGAGCTACTTGTGCCCTGGACATCTCCCTAACCCTGGAGGAGATGCAACAGGACATACAGATTGGAGAATGATGCAACAACCCTTCTTGAGGCCAGCCCAAGTGGGAAATTCATTCCTAGACACAGAATGTTACTCCCAACTCTGAGAATTTCTCCACAGCCCTGCCTAAAAACGTTAACAGTTTGATTATAATCTACAAACAAAATCTGGTCCATCAATACTCTTCTTACTGCCCAATGAAACCTTAAAATAGCGTCATAAGGCAGGTACAGTGGCTTACACCTACAGTCCTAGCTACTTAGGAGGCTGAGGGGAGCGATCGGAGCCTGGAAAGCAGAGGTTGTAGTGAGCTGAGATTTTGCCACTGCCCTACAGCCTGGGCAAGACCAGGTTTTAAAAAAATAAAAAACAGCAGCCTGATAAATGTCATGTACATGTTACTGATTTTATTACTCACATGGAACTGACTTTGTCTTCCGGCCCCTGCACTTGGCCTGTCACGGTGCCTTTGCTGGTATTCTTCACCCAGCCAACCACCCCTATCTTCTTAGCTTCACCTTCTGTATACTGGTTTCAGAAAAAAAAGAAAAATAAAGCATCAAAAGTCTGAATTCACAACATACTTGATTCTAACATCCAAAAAATGCTAACCTAATAATCTTTTTTTTGTAGGCTATGCCCACAATTGTATAGATGACTTACAGTTAATACTTCCAAGAACCTTCAATTAAATTGTATCTTTTATTAAATTCTACTTTCAGTAAAAACAAGTACATGATGAAAAAATAAGCTGAAAGTGAGAATTATTTCAGAAACAGTTTCCATGATGTATTTTTGGATACATAAATTTAGCTGCATTGCCCTCAAGATTGCTAACACTAAATTGCATTGTTTACCTGGGTTCCAAATGATAATAAATCCAAGATTATCACTGAGAAAAAAAAATCCAATTATGATCAACATAAGGTATTGATAAGCAGAAATAGAGACTAAAACACTTTGAAATTTCCAGTAAAAATGAGGGAAAATCATCTTAAGAAAATTATAAACAATCCCATTAAAAAGTAGGCAAGGACACAAATAGTTCTCAAAAGCAGACATACATGTGGCCAAGAAGCATATGAAAAACAGCTCAATATCACGGATCATTAGAGAAATGCAAATCAAAACCACAATGAGATACCTTCTCACACCAGTCAGAATGGCTATCAAAAAATCAAAAAGTAACAGATGCTGGCCAGGTTGCAGAGAAGAGGGAATGCTTATAAACTGTTGGTAGGAGTGTAAACTGGCCAAACCACTGTGCAAAGCAGTGTGGCAATTCCTCAAAGAGCTAAAAACAGAACTACCATTCAACCCAGCAATCCCATTATTGGGTTTATACCCAAAAGAATACAAATTGTTCCATCATAAAGACACATGCATACATATGTTCACTGCAGCAGCATTCACAATAGCCAAGACATGAAATCAACCTAAATACCCATAAATGGTAGACTGGACAAAGAAAATGTGGTACATATACACCATGGAATGCCATACAGCCTTAAAAAAGAATGAGATCATGTCCTTTGCAGAAATATGAATGGAACTGGAGGACATTATCCTTAGCAAACTAACACAGGAATAGAAAACCAAATACTGCATGTTCTCATGTATAAATGGGAGCTAAATTATGAGAACATGTGGACACAAAGAGGGGAACAACAGACACTGGTGCCTCCCAGAGGGTGGAGGGTGGGAGGAGGGAGAGGAGCAGAAAAAAATAACTATTGGGTACTCGGCTTAGTGCCTGGGTCACGAAATACTCTGTACAATAAACCCCTATGACATGAGTTTACCTATAACAAACCTATACATGTACCCCTGAACCTAAAATAAGTTTTCTTTAAAAAAAAAAGAAACAAAATTAAACTAGCGAGAACACTAGCATAAGCATGTTGGTTTGCAGAGTTATTGTAAGATTAAGATTCTGATGTTTTCTGTTGGCTCTGGACTTGGCACAGAAATGTTATAATTGTCTCTGGGTAAATTTATCTCTCCTATTATTACTAACAGTCTTTTAAAAATTCCTTTTTCTAGCTCCAAATTCAGTTATGCTACATAAGTAGCAACATTTTGATTTTGAATTATTTTAACAACATCATACTAAAATTCCTGTTGATCCAGTCTCCTAGAGCTTTTTTGGCAGGGGATGGAGTTTCGCTCTTGTCACCCAGGCTGGAGTGCAGTGGTGCGATCTCGACTCACTGCAACCTCTGCCTCCCAAGTTCAAGTGATTCTCCTGCCTGAGCCTCCTGAGTAGCGAGGATTACAGGCATCCACCACCATGCCCAGCTAATTTTTTTATCTTTAGCAGAGATGGGATTTCACCATGTTGGCCAGGCTGGTCTTGAACTGCTGACCTCAGGTAATCCACCCGCCTTGGCTTCCAAAAGTGTTGGGATTACAGGCATATTCCGACACATTTGGCCTTAGAACTTTTCAAAAACATACTCTTCTCCTGTATGGAGGCCAGGGCGATCAACATCTCTACATCCCACATCCCCAACTGTATGAAACAACACAAATCAAAATGGTAACAGCTAAGACTGATGTAAGAGGTAGCCCTGAAAATAAGTCACTTTCTTAACAGATAATAATGAAAAGGGAGACAATCTGAATTTTGGGGTATGGGGCTGCCTCATAATTCAGAGACTTTACTGACAGGAACATATTGGAGCCCTCAGGGGTTTGGAACCAGGGACCTCATCTAGAGACCCAGCTCAGATAGTAGGTGAAAATGCATGCCACATTTAACTTGTAGGAAAGGAGTACTTAAAAAAATTAAAAATTTAAAAGTATCATGGAGCCAGGCATGGTAGTTCATGCCTATAATCCCAGCACTTTGGGAGGCCAAGATGGGAGGTCAGGAGTTCAAGACCAGCCTAGGCAACATGGTGAAACACGGTCTCTACTAAAAATAAAAAAAAATTAGCCAGGTCCAGCATGGTGGCTCACACCTGTAATTCCAGCACTCTGGGAGGCTGAGGTGTATGGATCACTTGAGGCTAGGTGTTCAAGACCAACCTGGCCAACACGGTGAAAGGCCATCTCTACTAAAAATAAAAAAAGTAGCTGGACGTGGTGGTGGGCACCTTTAATCCCAGCTAGTTGGGAGGCTGAGGCAGGAGAATTGCTTGAGCCTGGGAAGCGGAGGCTGTGGTGAGCCAAAATTGCGCCACTACACTACAGCCTAGGAAACAAAGTGAGACTCTGTCTCAAAAATAAATAAATAAATAAATAAATAAATTCAACATGGAGCTTAAACTGCTAAATCCTGGGAACCACTTCCTTATGCAACATTTAGCGTGTTTTGTTTTGCAATGCACCGTATGTCCCTTTGTCCAGAGTATTTCTTCCACCCAGAACATGTGGAAAATCCCATACTTTGTATTCAATACGCCTAATCAAAGCATTTCATTAAAACCACCCCAACAGAGGTTCTTTTGAATAGATGTTAAGTAAATACTAAGAAGGATATAATGTTTTAGCATTAATAAATATCTCAATCAGTAATTTTAAAGAAATACATATATTTCTTCATTTACTCCCCAAGGACAGGGAGTAAACAGTAGACTAGCACTGACTGGAAACTGCCCTATCTCTGTAATTGGGAATAACAGTGGGAAAAAACATGGCAAAATAATAAAGATTTTTTGACTTACCATTCTGAAGCAAACACCTGTATAAAAGAAGAACAAAAAAATTGTCAGCTTGTCTACCTTAAAAAGTTATAAATTTTCTGACTTAACTTTTATCTAGGTAGTCCCCATTTATCCTTGGTTTCACCTTCTGCAGTTTTAATTAACCCTCAATCAACTGTGGCCCTATAATATTAAATTTAAAATTCCAGAAATAAACAATTCATAAGTTTTAAATAGAACACTTTCTGAGTAGCATAGTGAAATTTCACGCTGTGCCACCCATGAATCATGCCTTTGTCCAGCAGATCCATACCGTAGACCCTCCCTGCCCGTTGGTCACTAAGTAGTAGTCCTCTTGGATATCAGATCGACTGACTTGGTGGTACTGCAGTGCTTGTGTTCAAGTCACCCTTATTTTACTTAATGATGACCCCCAAAGCACAAGGGTAGTGATGCTGGCAAATGTGCCAAAGAGAAACCATAACGTGCTTCCGTTAAGCGAAAAGGTGAAAATTCTCAACTTAATGAGGAAAGAAAAAATTGTATGCTGATGCTGCTAAGATCTAAATTAAAAACAAATCTTCTGTCCATGAAACTGTGAAGAAGAAAAAAGAAATTTGTGCTAGTTTTCCTGTTACATCACAAACTGTAAAAGTTATAGCCACAATGTGTGATAAATGCTTAGGATATACAGGGTTCTAAACTATCCACAGTTTCAGGCATCCACTGGGGTTCTTGGACTGAATCCCCCGAGAATAAGGGAGGATTCTTGTATTTATTAAATGGTAAGTACATAAAATAAATAAAATGTTTAATATCTGAATGCATTTAGAAAGTATTTTTAAAAATTAGTTTCTTTTAAAATGAAAAGAGAAAAGGAAGACTTTTTGGAGAAAAATAGTAACATCCTGAATCCAAAGTATAATAAAATGCTGAACTGCATACTCATTCTGTTTTTAAATGCTAAATAAAACAAAATGCTTATTACAGATACAGTTGAGTATATTCGGCACAAGATTTAGCTGTACTGAACTTTTAAGATATCTTCTTAAAATATAAGGACTAAATGCAAATTTAAATATAATAAAACATTTGTGTTTTTATTTTATTTCTAGTTATGGAACCAATGAAACTTACATCATGAAATGATACGCTTGACCATAACGTGGCTTCTGAAGCCTCAGTTCTTTTATTTACTTATTTACTTACTTACTTATTTATTTATTTTAGAGACAGGATCTTGCTCTGTGCCCAGGCTGGAATACAGTAGTGCAATCATAGCTCCCTGCACCCTCGAACTCCTGGGCTCAAGGGATCCTCCTGCCTCGCCTTCTGAGTAGCTCAGACTACAGGCATAAGCCACTCTGCCTGGCCGTGAAGCCTCAATACTAAAGGAAATGAACTTAAATGGAAATGATTCTTGGAATCTCTATAGTGTAGATTACATTACGTTCATACTTCAAACCATGTAGATTGGGAAGTATTGTTGGTCTTGGTTACATTTTCCCTGTCTAGACCAATAAGCTGTTCTATGCTGGCCAACTATGATGGTATCTTATATTTTGCTTACCCAGCCTGCAAAACTATGGAAGCCTCATCTCAGACAGAGGTCAAAAAGACTATGGGAGTTCACACTTTGGGGTGTTTGAAACCAAACATTGATACATAGAGAACTGGGCCCTAAAGTGGGGGTAACACAAGAGGCAAGCTAGTTCCAAATTATCAGAGATATGCATTTATGATATGGGACCCTTTTAGGGAAAAGCCTTCCTACATCTCTCCTGGGAATTGCAGCAATGACCCTAAATAACAGATCTCAAGTCCTTCCTGCAAATTGCAACTTGGAAAACTCTTGATCCAAAAGGATGAATTAGAACAGGCTTCTCTGGGATAGATATGCCCCACATGTGAGCTCCTACTTGAGAGTTGATTAAAATAGGCCTATGTTTTAAAGAAACATCAGGAATGTATCAGGTGCAGAAATTCAGAACTTGTTAGTACCTATTGTAACTTAGTTTTAATTTCTACCTAGAACACATGGTAAATTTGGAAATTTGCTTGCCAGTACTCAAGAAGCCAAATGACAGGGGAAAAAAAAAAAAAAAAAAAAGCTTAAGTTTAGAGGAGACGGCATAGCAATTAAAAAACACTGGGAATGGATCAACAACTATGATGGATCCACGCAATGGAATACCATGCCGTTGCAGCAATGAAAGGGAATACAAGCAACAACATGTATGAATCACAAATGCATTATGCTAAGTAAAAGAGGCCAGACTCACACATACTGTGTAATTCTACTTTGTGGAAAAGGCAAAACTATAAGGACAGAAAATTGATTATCAGTTGCCAAGGGCCAGGAGTAGAGGGGACAGTGCTACAACGGGGGGATGGAGATCTTCGGGGTGACGGGACTGTTCTATATTTCAATTGTGGTGATGATTACATGCATGTATGCATTTGTTAAAAATTCATCGGGGCAGGCGTGGTGGCTCATGCCTGTAATCCCAGCACTTTAGAAGGCCAAGGCAGGCAGATCACCTGAGGCGTTCAAGACCAGCCTGGCCAACATGGTAAAATCTCATCTTTACAAAAATACAAATATTAGCCAGTCATGATGGCGGGCACCTGTAATCCCAGCTACTCGGGAGGCTGAGGCATGAGACTCACTTGAACCCAGAAGGCAGAAGTTGTAGTGAGCCGAGATCATGCCACTGCACTCCAGCCTGGGCAACAGAGTGAGACTCTGCCTCAAAAAAAAAAAGTTCATTTAATTGTACATTATAAAAGGTGAATGTTGCTTAATTTATATTCTATCTCAATTGAAAAATAATCAGAAAAAATACACTGGTAAGTCACATTGGTAACTCACAGAGTTGAAAAGGTGTTGATTCTATACACAGCAATTGAGCCTGGTTAAGAGGATACAGAAGAAAGGACCAGTAGCTTAGATATTTTATGCAGTTTTATAAGCAGATTTATAATTTCCTGATTTATAATATCCTGATGGTAGCATACTGTGGTACCAAACAAATATGAAGAAAAAAAAAGCAGCAAAGCAATAAAGACAGGATAGTATCACAAATGGAATTTTTATAGGGCTATAAAAATATTTCAAAAGATAGATGTTTAATGTGGAGGAATGATGGGTGGAAAGTATTGATCTGAAAGAGAATCAGAAAGGCAATCTGTTATATAGATGGAGGAAAAGACATTACCTAGTCATTATAAAAGGAAATGGCAGAAAATTCCAGAAACTTCAGGTCAGGCAGACCATGTAGAAGAGAGAGATAAAACGAGAGAGAAGACAGGCTTTACTGTGCAGGCAAAGGGGTGCAGTCTTTTTATCATAAGACTAAGGGGATCCCAGAACATAGTAAGACACTGACAAAGTAAGTAGACTGAAGGTTTTGGTCAAAGCTGTATTGTGTATATTCCCCTCTGAGTTCCTCGACAGTTAACAGTCTCGAATATTACATTATGGAAAGAAAAAGCACATGCAAAGGCAGTAAACAGAAATTAGAAACACGTGGTCCATCTCTTTCCCATTAAAAGAGTGGCCCATGAAACAGCATCACCTGAGAGGTTTTTTTTTTTTTAGAAAAAAAAAAATTCTTGAGCCCCTCCTCGAACCTATACTCTACAGGTGGAGCCCAGTAATCTGGCTTTCACGTGCTTTCCAGGTGATTCTTATGCCCACTAAAGTTTAGAGCCGATGGCTGACTCCCCCTTAAAGAAAGGTCTGAGAGAGATTTGAAAGGGTTTATATTTCAGGTCAATAATTGCAACACAAAGGAGAAAATTACAATCTTGTAGGGTACCACCACAGATCTAATGCATGCTCCGTCACACTGTTCAAGCTGGTGTTGGTAATAACTCGGGTATTTGCATGACATTGTTGCCTCACCTTTTTTTCACAAGTCAAAAGTACTACATAATAGAAACCACGGATGATAAAAAGGCAAAACTCCCTCCTGCACCCTAAAGAGACCTGATGTAGGTGCAGCCTAGGCAGCCTGTCACATAGATTTCTCCTTTCATCTGTACCGCTTACTACTAGAAATACTGGAGCTGCCCAAAGAGGGAAAGTGACAACATGCCTCTTAGTGAAGAACAACGAACGTCCTTTCAACATTTAGGAGCCCTGAGCAGCCCTTCCACCGTCTATTCACTGATGATGACAAAGACCATTAGCTTATGGTGATAGGGTTTGAAAAAATTTTTAAAGTGGAATCAAACACAGATATTCCACTATGTGTTGCAGTGTTAAGGAAATTACCTACTCCAATTTATTGATGTAATATTCACACAAACATAATCTAAGAATTAGTTAATTCAGATGCATTTAACAGGCACATAGTTAACCGTTGATTATTCACTTAACATTTTTCAGTTGTCTAATTTTTTATTTTTTTGTTCTTAGTTTCAATTGCCTAATTTTATAAGACACAGTCTTTGCATCTAAGAGATTACAATCTAGTGGGAAAGATGGACAAATAAACTGGCAGTTAAATATGGCAATTAAAATAACGGACAATTTGAAGCTGTAAAATGCATAAACCTAGCTACAAATTAGAGGTTATAGCACAGCCACATGACAGACAATCAATCACTCATGGGTGATTTTAGGGCAGGTTTGTTGAAAAACTGGTCTTAGAGCTGAGACTTCAATGATGAGAAAAATTAGTAAGATGAGAATAGAACATTACAGATAGAAGAGCATGTTCAAAGGCCCGAGGTTTGAGATCAGGGCATGTCTGGATACCACACATAGTTAAATATTCAAACCCATGCGTTGTACTCATCTTCTAAATTATTTCTAGGCCTTAGTCATTACTGAAGACTTAACTGAAAAATAGTTTAATTCTGTACCAACTGTGTCTAGAAGAATGGGCGATGTTTTTTATACCTAAAGTTATCATCTTTCAACTCATCTACTATAAGAACTTCTTTAGCCTCCCTGCTTCCAGTTCTGCCCTCCTACACTGTATTCTCCATAAAGCAGCCAACATGGCTTTCTTTTCTTAAGTAAAATAAA